AAGCAGTGGTATCAACGCAGAGTACTCTCCATCAGTAGTCACGAACGCTGATGGATGGGAATCTGCATGGAAAATACAGTTAAAAGAACCAGTAGCCAGTGGCTCAAGCTGCAGGAATTCTACGATATCCTGTCGCTTGATGTAGTCTTTCGCTTCCTCTGCAGTATCGAATCTCATAGCAGGGCGATGAATATCCAATGGCATCAATCTCTTAACACACTCAATACGGTCATTTGTGTCAATATCAGTCTTGTGTACCTTATTCTTTGACGCGGATGAACGAGTAGTCTTCTCTGGTTTTGTAAAGAGCTCTGGGTGTGCCTCAACGAAATCTGCAGTGATGTTTTTCTCAGCAACGGCCTCAGCCTGCTTTATGAAATCACTGTAATCATATTCGTTGGAAGACAGGTGACAGAGAGTCACGTCATAGGCAGCAGTTCCGTTCTTCTTATGTACGCTACCTGGGTAACGGAGAATGCCACCCTTCTTAACTGCATTAAGATCTGCGAGACCTGGAACCATAGCAGCAACGGCGTCCTGTGCTGCCTTCCACTCCTCATCGGCCATAGCGGAATTCATCTTCCATAACATCTGCCAACCATTACGAGTGCGTACTATTGAGGCTGGTTCAGGTAATCTGCTGATAATCTCCATCAGCTCATTTTTAATGCTCTCCAAATCCTCAAGTCGCTCATCAGGAATGGAGCTACCATTTTCCTTAACGTCAATATCAAGACTAACATATCTATTCTCTGCTACAGCATCAGCGCAATGCATCTCCGCTCCATCCTTTGCTGGCTGTACCATATAGAAGATGTTCTCTGTCTCTGGCTCCAACCTAGTAACATGGTGTCTGTAGTCCTTGAAACTCAGTGGCTGAACACCATCATATACATTGGAGATAAAAGCTGTCAGCTGCTCATCTTGGGTCATTGAAGCGTAATCTGCAGTCTGTTCCTGCTCCTGAATCAGTGTCTCAGGTAATATGAGGCCGTATCTCAAAGCAATCTGCTGCCTATCCAATTCATAAATTTCTTCCTTAGACATGTTACCAATCTTTTTCATCTGTACCTTAGCGGCTGAGCAGTCGTATCCATCCCAGATTTCAGACATGTCCTTATACTCAGCCGCGCCCATAAAATTTTCAAGTACATCCTGAAACATTCCGAACTGCTCAATGTCAATCCCCTTAGCAGGCATGCATGCGCATGGGTTAATGTAGAGTGAAGTAACAACGTGGTTATCTCTGAGGAAAGTGCCCTCTCTCATAAAACCTTTTTCATCAGCTACCTTTTAAACCTGTTAAAGGTAGAAGCGCTGATATCCAGTGCTTCCATGATATCTTCCTTGGTCGCAGGAATGTATTTACCATGTACGTTCTTGAACATAACTCTATTCATATGTTTTGGATCTTTGCGCGCAATCTGAATGAGCACGAAGGCATACCCTACAAATTTCATATGCCCATTAAAGATTTCAGTGAGGTCATAATCAGCACTCATTACTAATTTTGGGTACTTGCGATTATCTGCCATGAATTCATGACGGCCGTTAGACAGAATATGATTCTTCACTACCCTGGTAGCAACTAAACTATTGCTAATTGTATTAATTTCTTTTTGTGTTCCATTTTAAATTTAAACATTCACATTTTCCTTTCTTCTTGTTATCGGGTCCATTTTTGACTTTGACCTTTTGATGTTTTTATAGTACCATATATGGTTTCACTTGTCAATACCTTTCTTAAAACTTTTTTTCAAAAATGATTTTGAGGCTAGGGTTAAAAATCAATTTTTGAACGGCTGTTTTTTTAAGAAACCCTTGTAAATAAAGGGTTTTCGCCACTTTTTCCGTCGCGCGCGCCTATATAGTAACTATACAGCGAGCGATTCGTTGGTATTTTCAAGCGACGTTGAAGTTTGAAAGGCTTTGGCGGCTGGCGCCAAAACCGCTTGTGGCATCTGCTGACGCAGATGGAAACCTGATATAGATTTTTTCATTCAGTCTGGGGCGCGGTGAGAAGAATAAGCATATCAGGTTGTAGCCTACTAAGTTGTAGTGGCGACATGATGTAGCGCACAGGCAAGGCCGGGTGCCGGGCGTGTAGAATCCAGTTCCCCTCCCTCTATGGTGGGGAGGGGGTGCTGGTTCGTAACGGGCGGTGAACTTAGTGCGCGGTGAAATCAGTGGTGATCTCCCTCGCGGCGTTCTCCTGTTGACTCCGTACAGTCATGATTGAATACTCAAGTCGATTCTTCCAATTGGCGTTAGAACCGCTGCCATAGAAGTAGAGCCTCTCTATCACCTGGTCGTAATCTGCGGTGCCAGGCTTATACATACCAGCCAGCTTCAAGACCTCAGCTTCAGATAAATGTTCAGCATTCTTTATACTGCGGATGAAAGACCTACGCTGAGCCCAGTGCATGCAATCACTCATAATCAAACTCCTCCTCTCTCTCCTTCAGCTTCAACAGGGCGCCAGTCAACAACTGCTTACCATCCTTGCGAAGCATGCCAAGGCTGTAGCTGTGTTCAGCCAATTTCTTGGACTCAGCGTAAATAGCCAACACAAAATCAGCCTCCTCTTTTGAGAGCACCTCTTTAACGAAGTCAATAGTGTACTGAGCGTTCTCCCTCAACACAATGCTGTCACTGCACAAATCATCTGAGAGATGAAGGAGGGCATCTAGCAGCCCCCTCCTCTCCTCAACATTACTTTCCTCAATGATTTTCTTAGCGTCTGCCTTTATCTGCTCGAGCGATGAAGGCTTCGCCATGAATTTTTTAATGTTCTTCTCACGGTAATCGGTGGAAGTCATTATCAAGCAACCTGCTTCTTCTGGTCTCTACGTATGAGTCTGATAAGATGCGCCAAACCCCTGTTACTTACGAGAGTCTGGTAACTAGAAATGTACTCATTGTTATGGTTATAGTGCCCTCCGTTAGCCCTGAGCTTATAATATCCCTTGTCGACAACATTCTGGTATGGATGATTCTTCTTGCTGCCTTCTGAGATTAAGTCCTTGTGATTACGGGCAACCTCAAACAGCTTATTCTGGCCGTAACCGTTATTCAGTAGGGCGGCGGCAGACTTAAATGAGTGCCAGATGTCTGGGTTCTCCATCAGCTTGTTAGCCAGCTCAACAAGTGGCTCCTGTTCTTCCAGAATAGCTTCCTGTTCCTCAATCACAGTTTCCTGTTCCTCAACAATACCTACCAATGTCTCATTTTCAATCTCCAGGAACTGTCTCGCCTCCTCAGCTGTGACCAGTGCCTTCAGTGCTGATAAATAATCCGTAGGCAAGGAAGGCTGCTTCTGTAACTGGTAGAAGCCATTCTTTCTGAGTTCAGGGAGAACTTCTGCTGTCACCCACCTCTTGAACTTCTTCGCAGTTGGTAACTTAGAAGAGAGCACCAAACTGTACATACCACTTTCATTAATGATAGTCATATTTGGGTTACCTTTTCCGTCGTAAATCGCGACGCTATCCTTATCCTCTTCATCAACATGTTTTGCAATGGCATCTCTAGTGTTGCTGTAACCCAAAACTTCAGCGATATCCTTAGCAACGAACCAAACCTCTCCATCAACCTGAACGGTCCTCATATGCACATTAAATTCCTCATTAGTAAAAGTAAATATTTCGTTATTCATAAATTCTGTTTCTCCTTGTTTTCGTTTTTCTTCTAATAATAAAATGTAATCTCTTATTGAATTAGCGGCACATAAGCCAGCCGGCCATCCTGATTTTGGCCTCTTCCATGTCTCCGGCTCCAATAGCTTCCAACATCTCACGGAAGCATGCTTTACTGATTTCCTCATCATGCATATCACAGGAAGGGGCCTCCTGAAGTGCCTTGCTGTTCATTAACTTATCAATCATGTTATTTTATGTCTCCTTTTAAAATTACAGTTCTGGCGTTCAGTGGTTATTATAACCTTCCTTGCGCGCGCCTCTATAAATATTATTACCTGGGGTTTTACCTCCTTTTACACATACGTCAAAAAATTTTTTTATTTTTTTAAAAAAGTTTTATACGGGTAAGTTTATTAGAAGAAAACCAACGTAAAGGAGGAGAATAACATGGCTACTAAAGACCCACGTTGCAAGCCGCATCGCCGAGACTGGAATGCCATTGAAACTGAATACATTCAGGGCTACCTTGATGAAACAGGAAGGCACTTATTTCCTACCAAGGCTGATATACAGAATAAATATAATATTACAATGCAGGTAATAACCAAGCGCGCCAAGGAAAAAAGCTGGGATAGACGCAGGGAAGAGTTTCAGGCTGAGCTCCAAAAGAAGACTGCTGAAAGACTGATGGCCGAAATAGCTAACGGCGGCAAAGGGCTTAATCTGAATTTATACAAGATGGCAGCTGATACTGTCTCCCGCTGTCATTCGCTGCTACCATACGCAGGCACAGGACAAGAGATTAGGAACCTCATAGGCGCAGCTAAAGACGCACAGGCTATCGCTTCAGGAATACTGCCTACTAAAACCCCAGAGGCTGACATCATGCAGATTAACGTAAGGTTGGAGGCACCCCCTTCCGAGACTGACGTCTCTCCTTCCCCCTCCCGCTCTGCTACAGGGGGGATATAATGTCTCAGATTGACATTTCAATTGACCCTGCTATCATTAACAATGTTTACCTGTCTCATGTGGATGATGAACACAGGTATCAGATATTCTATGGTGGCTCCTCATCTGGCAAGTCTTACTTCCTGGCACAGAGACTGGTCATAGACATGCTGCGTGGCGGGCACAACTACCTCTGTTGTCGTAAGGTCGCTAGAACTGTACGTAAATCTTTGTGGAACGAGATACAGAAGGCGCTCAGCTTCTTTAATGTCTCCCACCTATTCAAGTCCAATGCCTCTGAACTTGTCATTACTGGTCCGAATGGCTGGCAGATACTATTTGTCGGTCTTGATGATGTAGAGAAAGTAAAATCAATCAGCCCAGCCAAGGGCGTTATCACTGACATATGGGTGGAAGAAGCCACTGAAGCTGAGTATTCTGACATAAAGCAGCTGGATAAGCGTCTACGTGGACAGTCAGTAGTGAAAAAACGACTCATTCTCAGCTTCAACCCGATATACCAGCAGCATTGGTTGTATCAACAATACTTCGCAGGACACTGGGCTGACGACTCAACCCGCTACGCTGATGACACGCTTTCCATTCTGAAGACAACATACAAAGATAATGGCTTCCTCATGGAAGATGATATTCATGCATTGGAGTCAGAGTCTGACCCTTACTGGTACTCAGTCTATGCATTAGGTAACTGGGGTATTCTGGGCCACGCGATATTCCACAATTGGACTACCTCAGATCTGTCTGACACTGAGTTTGACAGCTATGTCTATGGTCTTGACTGGGGGTTCAGTAATGACCCAACCGCTATTGTACAATTACATTATGAGCGCAGGACTCATACCCTATACATCAAGTTAGCTGAATATCTTCATGGCTACACAAACGATTTAATAGCTGCAGAGGTGAAGAAACTGAATCCAGATCTTATTATCTGTGACTCCTCAGAACCCAAGTCAATAGCTGAATTGAAGAGACATGGTTTGTGTGCAATACCTGCTACTAAAGGGCCCGACTCTGTTATGTACGGCATAAAGTGGCTATCCAAACAGCGCATTGTCATAGATGCCTCCCTTCGTGACGCCATAGCCGAGTTCACTACGTACAAGTGGCTGCAGGACAAAGATGGTAAAGCACTTCCTAAACCGGAGGATAAGAACAATCACTGTTTGACTGGCGACACTCTGGTGCATACCACAAACGGTATTCTACCTATAAGAGAGCTGGTAGGTACTACTGGTAAAGTCTACTGTTATAATGAAGAAAAGAAATGTATGACCACCTCTAAATACAGGGATTGCAGGCTCACACAAAAAGAAGCCCCTATACTTCAAATAGAGCTTGAAGATGGGCGCGTGTTAAAAGCCACTGCTGAACACCCTGTGTATACTCAGCGTGGTTGGGTTACTGTAGGGGAACTCACAGAAAATGATTCCATTTTAAAGCTAGAGTCTATTAATACACAGCTGTTAAGGGTGACAGAGATTAAGCCTGCTGGTGTAGAGGATGTTTTCAATCTGGAGGTTGACTGCTATCACAACTTCTGTGTGAATGGCGGGTTAGTAGTCCACAACTGCATCGACGCTATCCGCTATGCCTGCCAGTATTTAATGACTGAGCCTGACGAACCTGACCAGACCTTGAATCAAGTATCATGGCCAAAGGCAGGCGCACTGTAAGTTGTTTTCACAGCGGTGAGGGAAGGGCGCGGCCACTGTTTAAACAGCAGCATTTAATAGCTCCCACCCACCTCCCTTCACCAGTGCATACGTTATATAGAGAAAGGAATGATTGAAATAGAGAAACTGAATGATGAAATACTAGAGAACATCGCTCACAAGCTTCAGATAGACATTGAGGCGGCAAACGCTCATTATCAGAAAGAAATAGAGCCGCTGGTTACTACCAACCTCGACATCTATAACTCAAGCAAAGAACTCTACAGGAAGATGTTTCCTCGTCTCAGCCAGCAGTGTGAACTGACTACCACTGACTTCAGAGATGTAGTGGCTTCAGTAATGCCTTCTCTGATGAAGACCTTCTTCTCAACCTCTGACGTTATCACAATTCAAGGGCGGGACGGCACGCCTGAAGATGATGACAGAGCGCAGAAGATGCAGGACCTTATTGGCTATGAGTTGGAGCGCGGCAGAGCATATATGAAGTTCCATAGGTGGTTCCAGGACGCTCTGACCTGCAATGCTGGCATACTCAAAGTGGACTGGGAGAGAACCTACAAGCCTACAGAGAAGCAGGTTGAGATAGCTGCTGAACAGGTAGAACAGTTCATGGCGGAAGCTGAACAGAGCGAGGAAATAGAGGTGCTATCTGTAGAGCAGACACCAAACGGCACTATACTGGTTACCTACCAAATTGACTCCGTTGATAAGAACCAGCCTCGATTAATGAATCTCTCTGCCTCTGAGTTCCGATTCTCTCCTGATGCTACCAGCCTTGAAGATGCTGACTTTGTGGCTCATCGTAAAATTGTGTCCCTCGATTACCTCAGACAGCAGTGTGAGTCAGGTCTCTACACCAAAGAAGCAGTTGCAGAGATAGCTGAAAAGGCGGCTACACCTGAATACACTACCTTAGAGAACAACTTGAACCCAGAGCGTGATGAGGAAGATAACCCAATCGATTCTGGTCGTAAGAAGCTGGAGCTTTACGAGTGTTATACCAAGGTGAATATCACTGAAGACCCCGACGCTCTCCTGAAAGACATGATTATCACCATTTGTAACGGCACCATACTCAGAATCGAGGAGAATACCTACGAACGAAATCCGTTCTTCATTCTGGCTACTAATCCTGACGCACACAGGATATGGCCGACTTCTGGCTTCTGCGACCTTGTGGCTCCGCTTCAGCACTGTAAGACAGCTATCCTGAGACAGATGATTTACAATCTCGCTCAGTCCAACGATGCTCGTATGGCTATTGATATCACCCAACTGGTTGATGTTAATGACGTTATCGAGAATAACAGGTACATCAGAATGCGCGGCGACATTGGCAAGGCACTCCAGCCTATTCCTACAGCTCCTCTTCAGCCATGGAGCTTCGAAATGCTGCAGTATCTCGATAATGCTAAGGAGGACCGCACAGGTATTACCAAGTACAACCAAGGCAATGATGCCAACTCACTGAATAAGACTGCTACTGGTATCAGCCTCATCAGCCAGATGGCAAACGCAAGGTTGGAGCAGATTGCCCGCACCTTTGCTGAGACAGGTGTATCAGAGTTATTCCGCTTCCTGATTAAAATGAACCAGCTCTTTGTTTCTGAGCAGACAGTAATCAGACTGAGTAACGGCCCAATGACTGTGAACCCAGATGACCTCTCTGGAGACTTTGACCTCTCCATTAACAGCGGCATGGGTACAGCCTCACGAGAACAGATGATTAACAACCTCCAGGTAGTACGTGGTATCATAGCAGAGCTGGCACAGGCAGGAATGGCGGGGCCAGACCAAATTTACAACGCAGCTGTTAAGTTATTCAAGGAGATGGGCTTCAAAGAGGCAAACCTCTTCGTAAAGAATCCTCAGCAGGTTCTTCAGGAGCAGCAGATGGCACAGGAACAGGCGGCCCAACAGCAGCATGAATCTCCAAAGGTATCCGTTACCTATGATGACCTTCCATGGCAGGCGCAAATGCAACTTCTACAGAGTATGGGCTTCCAAGTGACTCCTGAGATGTTCTCTGAACAGGCTACTCAGCGTGTGCTTGCTACTGCAGCGGATGCTCACGCAAAGGCGGATGCTACTCGCAACCCACAGGGCGTAGCTGGCGATGCTGCTACAGCGATGTACCTTAATCAACTCTAAAAGCAACTGAGACTCCTATTGTTTGGGGTCTCTTTTTTATTTTCCGTTTGCTGGGTAACTATAATGAGGGAGGCGAGACACTTTGATTAAGAACCTTCTCGAACAAAAACGGACAGGAGAAAAAGCCAAGAACGAGCTTGAAATCCTTCGTCCACGACTTAAACAACTTCGCGATAAAGCATGCGACAAGCTCTCATCTCCAGAGCTTGATACCAACGAAATCTACACCAACAGGGCAATTCTCATTGTGGTCAACATGATAGAGAACAGCCTCGTAGCAGAAATCACTAACGGCGAAATAGCTGAGTCACAACTAATCAAAAGAAAGGAATGAGTTCTATTTTCAAAGGATTCACCCAGACAGAGCTGATAAGCACTAATCCGCTGCTGCTCACAGCAATCCTCAGCGAGGAACTGGCGAGGCAGGCGCAGGCGCTGAAGGCCATAAACGAAGAAATGAAACTTCTTCGTAAGAAAGACAATACCTCAACCACCAATTAATTATTTTTGATAGAAAGGATGTATTTGATGGAAGACCAAGCTACTATGCAGTCAAATCCAGAAACTACTGATATTACTGCCCCAGAGACTACAGCATCACCATCTGCAGAGGTAGATGTTAAGGCAATCGGCAAGATTACCAACGAACACGAACAGATTGAAGCCCTGAAAGCGGCTGGCATCTTAGGTGAAAAGCCTACACCAGCACCGGCTCCTGAACCAGAGCCTACTTCTGAACCTGAACCAACTACTGAATCTGAAACTGAAGAAGAGACCAAGCCTGATGAGCAGTCTCAGGAAATCAAGCACAAGATTAAGGTTAATGGTGAGGAAAAGGAAGTTAGCTATGAAGAGCTGATTAAGTTGGCTCAACAGGGCACAGACTACACACGCAAAACTCAAGAACTCGCTGCCGAAAGGAAGCGCTACGATGAACTCCTGAGCAAGCTGAATACTCAACCACAGACTACCGCTCCAGCTCCTGAACAAAAGGACCCTAAGGATGTTTATTCAGCTCAGTATGAAGCTGCGACACATGAAGTTGAGCGCAGACTTGGCCTGAAACGTGATGAGTTCAATCAGTTTGATGCTACTCATACCTTCGTTCTGAATCAGGTGGTACAGGAACAGCAGCAGGCAGCCAACGCACGTAAGCAACTGAATTCTGAAATTGCAGAGTTCGCAAGGCAGGCACAGGCTGACCCTATGACTCCTGAGATTGACGCCAACTTTGACCGCTTCATTTTTGAACTCGGTAAGAAGGAGCCTGAGAAGGCTATGAACCTTGTTATGGCCAAGAGCAGGTTTATGTCTGGCAATGCTTCCCGCGCCGATGCAGAGGCTATGAAAGCGCACTGGAATTATGTCAAGGCAGCGCTGGAAGCAGAAAAGAATACTCCACCACCAACAACCCCAACACCAACACCAATGCCTAAGAAAGTTGAGCCACCAAAGACTGAGGCACCTGGTCCTGCTGTCGTTACAGCACCTCGACCAAAGCTTGACAAAAACAAGCTGAGGTCATTATCCGCTGACCAGGACAGCCAGATTTCGATGCTCAAGAAATTAGGCATCCTATAAAGTTAACCGAAAGGATGATATTTTAATGGCAACCTATTCATATGACGAGCGTACAAATCGAGAAGATTTGACCGACGTTATTACCAACATCTCCCCTACTGACACCCCACTGGTCACCATGTTTGGCAAGGAAAAGGCGTATGCGACCTATCATGAGTGGCCAGAAGATGAGCTGGCTCCAGCTACTGAGAACGCTCAGGTAGAAGGCGCAGAGTTCACCCCTGCAGAAATTGGCAGCCGCGAGCGTAAGGGTAACTACACCCAAATTCTGAGCAAGGCCTTCAAGGTAACTGAGACCCAGCGCGCAGTCAACTCTGCTGGAGTGAACGACGAGTATGCTTACCAGAAGTATAAGGCAATGAAGGAACTGTCCAAGGACCTGGAATATGCCGTTACCAAGAATGCTGCTGGCGACGCAGGCTCTAAGACCACTGCCCGCAAGATGGCTGGTTTGACTGGTCTCATCACCACCAATGTTATCAATGCTTCCAAGCTGGATGCTAATGTAATTGCAAATGCCCTGCAGAAGGTATGGGAGAACGGCGGTCAGGCAAAGAAGCTCGTTGTTTCTGCTAACAACAAGAGAGCGATCTCCGCTATGACTACTTCCAACACCAAGAACGTGGCAGCTAAGGACAAGACTCTGATTGAGGCAGTTGATGTATTTGACACTGACTTTGGCCGTGTAGAGATTGTATCCAGCCGCTTCGTTGACGACAAGACTGTCTTTGTGCTTGACCCATCTTATATCAAGATGGCTTGGCTGCGTCCATTCGAGAGCCACGACCTTACCACCAATACCGATGGCAAGGCAGGTTCTATTGTCGGTGAATGTACTCTGGCAGTTCGCGGTGAGAAGGGCCAGGCCGTTATCAAGCTGGGCGCGTCTGCATAATCTTTTTCTCGTTATAATCACACACACTTGAGGGTGGGGCGTCTCTGCCCTGCCCTTTTGTTATATGACTAAAATTTTAATGTTTAAGGACGGAAATTTTAATGAATAAATACTACGACTTAACAGACGTTGGTGACTCACAACGAAAGATTCTTGACGTAGATATCGCCACAAAGCAAGATAGAATCTGGACCATAGGAAACAACGATGACCATTTGGATTACGTAGGCAGAATGCAGCATGACGAGGGCTATGACATTACTCGCGGCTTCAGGAGAATAGCCCACTTAGACCTTGGTACAGTACGGCTCTTGGCTGTTAAACACCACGACCAAGATGCAATAGATTGGCTCCAGAATGATGATGCCGATGCACGTGACAGGCTCATAGAGAAATACCCTCAGTTCTTCAAGGCTTGCTCAGGAGGTATTTAATGACTCCAAAAAAGTTATTCGCACAGATACGAATGAACGGCGCAATTCAGGACGCTGCTCATGTCAAATATTCTGATTACCAGTTATTGGCTACACTGAACTCTGTCCTGCAGATTATTTACAATACAGTCAGCAACCTTAATAGCACAATCCTCAATCAGTCGCAGGATGTAAGGTTAATCAACGGCAAAGGCGAACTGCCTGACGACTTCCTCTCTCTAGTCAATATCTATGATGGCTCTGGAAATCCACTGACTCCAGCCTCAAAGAACACTCCTCTGAGTAAAGGTAATTATCGCATTGTTGGCGATACAATCTTCCACGCTGGCGACATTGTAACTTTAGAGTATAAACCCTATTTTACAGATGTTGAGTATTCAGAGATAGAAGACGAGCTGATACTTCAGGACTTCTTTGCAGAGCTCATTCGTAAGTACATGATAATCCTGCTGACTGGCGGCTCAGAAACAGACTCTGCTCTTCTCAGTGGTATCAGCGACGCAATCCAGCATATAATCGCAAACCGCGACTACAACGTAAATCGTGGATGCGTCAGCCAATACCAACAACATTGCATGGAGGATATAGAGATGAAAGTACAAGATTTAGTAGACCTCATAAACGCCGAAGCTGATGAGCTGCTGGACAATGACGAAGACAATATCCCCTACGTCAATCACGCCATAGACCTCCTCAGTTTCTTCCTCGCAGCAAATGGCGACCCAGAGCTGCTAGCCACCAAGAACATCAGTGACGGCGAGAATGTACCAAGCACGTTCCTCAACTTCATACCTCGTAATGGATACCCTGTCTATATTGACGCTGGTAAATTTAAAATCTTCACTGACGACAGCACCCTCTACAATGTTAGATACGCGGTAGGTAAGGAACATGTTAACAGCCTCGTTGACGAGATTCCATTTAAGGAAATGTTTACAGGCGCTATGGTTCTCATATGTTCCTATCTCATCAAGAAGAAAGACTTACATACCTGTTGAGTACTGTCAGCAGGATAAGAGCTTCATATCAGAGCTGATGCAAGCTATACAATCAGCCAAAGGAGTGGTTTAATAGATGGCTCAGTTCTTAACTTACAGCACTGGTGCTTTCTATCATGGTATCAACCTCTCCCGTAACGCACAGGCAATACAGCCAACTGAGGCAGTCCAGCTTCATAATTGTGAGTTTGATGTAGAAGATGGTAGTGTAAGAACCTGTGACGGAGTCAGTGTCAAGCATACAGCAGAGATAGCCATCCGCTCTCTATTCTTCGTTCCACAGGCTGACCTCTTCCTCTATATCTTAGACAACAAGGAAATTTACACTGTGAGTCAGGACTTTAAAACTCAACAGCGAATAGGAGAGGTAACAGGTACGAACCCAGCTCAGTTCGTTATTTTTGGTGATGTGGTGGTTATTGCGACAGGCGGCAAACTTAACTATTTCGACATCAAAACCAAGACATTGGTATCATAAGTGAATCACCTGAATCTATCGGTATTACCAGTAGGCAGGGGCACTTAGTAGCATTTAACAATACCAGTGATACTCTCTATTACTCAGCTATCGGCGACCACATGAGCTGGAAGGAATAGTCCTGGAGATGTATCTACTGGCCAGTCCGTAAGTGTCGGCTACAAGGATGCGGGTAATATTATAGCGGCTGACTTCCTTGCTGACCTCGTTATGATATACAAAGAAGACGGCCACGCATACAAGGTTACTGGTGACCCAGCTACAGATGAGTTTGCAGTACTTCCTGATCAACTACAGCTTTCTGCATTTCCCCATATGCCACCTGCAATATCAATTCGAAGACCTTCTTTGCAGGAATGGCGGGATTTAACAGCTATACTCCCACTGCTGCGTATGGTGATGTAGCTTCATTTGAGGAAGGCTTGAATGTCAACTCAGTGCTCAGCCAGATAATCACCAAGAACTGTAAAATGTGGCACTTGCCTAGTAAAAAGCAGATATGGATTGCGCCTGGAGATACAACCAAGCCTGGCCTTGTTTACATTTATCACTACAGCGCAAGGTATGAAGATGGCCGCGGAGTTTTCACCACTCGCACCTTCAAACATGATTTAACAGATGTAGTAGAGGCTGACGACAAAGTATTCATCAGCTATGGCGCTTGTATCGGTGTACTTGACCCTACTATCGACACTGACGGCGACGACCAGATTGAAACCATCATGATAGGGCAGGAAAGGTTAGCTTCAAAGCACTCCATTCTCGTCATGAACCGTCTGCTTATCACCAACAATCGCATAGCTGGCTGGTGTCAGTTGCAGTGTGGTAAGAAGACCAAGACTATTCCTCTCAGTGATGGAACTCATTATGTCGCTGACTATAAGATGCCTGTTCAAGTTGCAACCAGCTACATCGAAGATGAACCATACACTAGGTCTTACAAGGTAGGCGGCGGCAGTAACAAAACCGTTCAAATCAAGCTCCGCGTTCCAAAGGGTTCAATCAGCCTTAGGACAATGGATTATGAATATCTGGAGGTGTAAACATAATGTATAGAGTCTATCCAAACAATTTCGTTCATGGCGGCTCGACTATAAAGCAGTCGCTAGAGAATGACAATCTCGATATAGAGAACCTTTATTTTGAAAATTCAGCAGCTAGATGAGTACGTTACCAGTGAAATGAAAAAGAGAGGTTTTACTGAAAAATGAGTAGACTTCACCCATTAAATGTTGAAACCACATCAGTCCTTGAGGGCTTTCGTAAATGACCAGACTGACATAGAGAACCTCTACTCACTCTATACTGAACTTAAAAACAAGGCTAATAAGTTAGTTAACAGTGACAAAGAGAACTTCACTTCACTCGAGAAATACAATACCACCTCCTATGACAACTGTAAACAATATTTGAAGTGGAGGCTGACTTATAACTGCAACTATCTGACTCAGAGTGTGACCCCAAACATCCTTGTTACGATGAACGAAAAGACAGTTATATTGAGGTTATTCAGGACACTATAATCTATGCACCTGCTGGAATCAAAAACGGTGTACATATCACCAAAGCAATTAAGCTGACCGCTGGCACAAGGTTCTATCTTCCAAACCAGCTTGACCGTACACCTCAGATTCTTTATGACACGGTGGTTGATGCCAAGTACGTTCTCTGTGTTTGTGACGACAATAAACTCATCATTGAGGACAGGAATAAATTCAAAGGCTGGCGTAACAAGTATGCCTACACAGCCCTCTACTCAGAAGGAAGTTATATTCTTGACGAGAAGACCTTCACTGTGAAGAAGTTGGCAAGTGGTGAGTGGATAACCACCGATACTCTCGTTCCGCTCTGCGACCTCACTATCACTGACTTCAGTGTCAACAGGCCGTATGCACCAGCAGCTCAGCCTTTCAGCAGAAGCATCACACTTACCAACTTTGCAGACCCATTTTCTCAGGTGAGTGTAGAATGACACTGAAAGAGTGGAGAAAGAAGTACTCTGCGTTGATACCACTGCTTATTCGCGACCCAAGAGCGCAAACCTATTTTGAAGAAGACAAGGGCTTTATGGACTATATCGTGGAGGGCAACACTCTCACCATCGACCACTCATGTACCACAGACATCCTTTACATGAGAAAGAAGATTTTTGAAATTGCGCGCTCGCTGGCCTGCAGATACCTGATTACCTATACCATGCGCTCGCCTTCAGCATACGTAAGAAAGACAGGAGCACATTTTGATTATGCAGGCTCTCGCTTCCTAGCCAATGGCAAGTGGTACTGGAGATTTGAGGAGGAATTAAATGATATTATTTGATTTTAAACAGAAAAACGGATTTGACTCGTATGGCCGTCCAACTCTCAATCTCGGCCATTGTCACTTTAAGGGCGGCGGCACATCAACCACCATACAGAAACGTGACATTCCAGAACAGAGCGCACTTGAAACTGAGCTGGAAGCAAAGCTAGGTCAGTATAACCAGTCTGGTATCGACGCTGCTAATGCGCTGCAGAAAGAGGCACTGGAGTACATCAACCAAACCTACAACCCTAATTGGCAGATGTTGTATGATGAGTATAATGGCGACATCGCGGCGGCCCTTGCCGACTATCAGAATACATCTGACGCTACTCTAAATGCCTACACAACTGCACTGGCTCAACGCGAAAACATCTTCGGTGAGCAGTCAGACCAGAACCTGATTGACTACAGGAAGCTGATGAATCAGGCCCTCGGCAATCAGACAGACGAAAGAAATCTGGCTAGTGGCGAGTATGGCAGCGCACTGACTGAGGCAGCTCAGAAGTACGACCTCCAGCAGCGAGAAGACCTGAACAGCTATAAGAATGCACTGTCACAGGCAGAGAGTACAAACCAGCGTGACCTCTCTAATGCTCTGGCTAAATATGACAACACCCAGCAGAAAAACCTGAGCCAGTATCAAAGTACACTCGATACTGAGAAAACTAAGTATGATGGCTCAATGTCAAGTGCTCTTGACGAGTATTCTAAGGGCATGGCTAGTGTAAATGCTAGGGCACAGGAACTGGCTGATGGTATCCTACCAAGCTCCTACAATCAGAATTTTCAGGCTGCGATGAAAGATGACCTCAACGCATTGTATGGAAGCAAGATTTCTCAGCTGGCCTCCCGCGGCATAATTAACAGCTCTGTAACCAATACTGCTATGGACTCAATTAGTCAAAGTATCGCAGATGCCTCAGCTAAAAACTTCATACAGTCCTTGTCTTCTGCATCCAGTCTGAACAATGCAAGGGCATCTAATTTGGCTGATACCAGTACTCTGCGTTGATACCACTGCTTAGACACATTCTCTGTTGGTTCAGGAGTAGCCGACAGTATATACAAGGCGGCGCAGGGCTCAGCAGACTCTATCTACAACGCTTCCGTTGCGAATGCAAAGGACAAATACAACAACTCTGTATCCAACTCCAAGAGCATCTATGACGCAGCCAATACTGTCAGCGGTAACCGCTACAATGCTGCAACTGGAATCGCAAAGAATAAATATGACTCCGCTATCTCCAATGCAGATACAAAGTACACTAATTCAGTGGGTACAGCTGATAATATCTATAAATCTGCACAGGCAAATACAAAGTCTCAGTATGATAACGCCATTGCGAATGCTGCCGCTGGCTACGCTGCGCAGACTGACCTCGCTAAGCAGCTCCTGCAGAGCAAAAATGAAGCAGCCCAGAATAAATTCGTTGGCGCGGCGCAGGCACAGGCCCAGAGTTATTATGCTCCTGGAACACTCCTTGGGTACGCACAGAACTTAGCTAATTCAGCCAACAATCAGTACAACACCATGTATACTGGCCGTATGGGTACAGCTTCAACATCAACCACTACAACACAAAGTAGTGGCAATGATGATTCCATTTGGGGAGCAGCCGGTACAATCGGCGCCGCACTCATCACATGCTTCGCAGCTGGAACCAAGGTTGCCATACGTGGCGGTTTGAAAAATATAGAGGACATCAAGGTTGGCGATGAAGTGCTGACTCTCTCAGAGAATGGTGGCTTCACACATAGGAAGGTTACCAAGGTTTCTAAGCCTCGAGTAAACGACACAATCAGCGTTCGATTCGCTAACGGTGCAACTTTCGTAACCACCAGCTCACAGAGACTCTTGACTTACGGCGGCTTTGAGTACATTGAGAAGGTCACTCGACCAATCATTACAACCCAGTCCAATCCAACGGCCATCTTGGAGATGCATGCAGATAAAAGGCAGACAGTGTATGATTTCACCGTAGAGGGCAACAATATATTCTTTGCAAACGGTATCGGTGTGGAAGGAGACGATTAAGTGGAAGATAATAGCGGAATGAAGCAATATCAGGACTTCCTGATGAGACAGGCACAGATTCAGAATCAGCAGGCACAGGGAATGGCGAAGGGCCCATGGGGTGCCCTCTCCCAGATTCTCGGTGCGTACATTCAGAAAAGAAGTATTGACGGCGCCATGAATTATGCCTCTGGAATAGGCGATCAGTTAGGTGATGGCTCAATAGAACAGCAGGCCCAGGCTCAGCACGAAGCAGCCGTTAATAGCTCCAACAACTACAGCTTCAACACTCCGAAAGGAGCAATTACCCCACAGCAGATAAATACTGGCTACCAAGCACAGACACAGCCTGAACAGAACCAAAACAGAGGTTATGACTTCAGCCTCAATAATGCAAAGATTGGCGGGAATGCATACTCTCAGACTAAAGATAGTCTAGGGGCGGCACCACTGAATATGTTCCAGAAAGCTGCTCAGAACCAGATGGCTAATGATGCCCGTATCAATCAGGAGAACGAGATACTCAGAAAGAATGGTTGGGACCCAGAGTACGAAGCAAAGATTAGGCAGAACCCCCAGTGGTATGTAGGCTCTGATTATGTTGGCGACAATGTAGAAGCCCGCAAACAGGCTGAACAGCATTATCTCGATACCATGCAGAAATGGCATGGAGACGATGGCAAGTGGAACAAGGAGTATGCTGCTGGAATAGCCAAGGACCCAAGTAATTATGTAGGTTCTGACTGGACCGGCGGTAATGCTGATGCAGAACGTCAGGCGGAGTTACATTACCTCGACACACAGCGTCAGGCTCATTTAGATAGAGCTAGACAGACTGGCACCCCTCCCACCTCCCCTCAACAGGAAAAACAGTATATGAGCTATTCTGATTACGCAGCAAAAGCAAAGCAGCTGAAGGCTGAAGCCATGAAGAAGATGGTATCCAAGTATGGTGAGGCCGCTGCTCTCAGAGCTTCTTCAATGATCGACGACGCCATCGACAGTAAGCTTCAGGCATACGGCAACGCCATCGACAACAAGGCTCGCCAGCAGCTTGGTCAGTTCCTCTTGAACGGTGATACCGATACTCCTCAGGGATTGCGACAGGCTCTCTGGGCGGCAACTGAGTATAACCGTCAAGCCAAGGCAATGGGTAGGGAAGGAATAGACACTGCTTACCTCGGTCAGATGCTGGCTGCTGGAGATACTAATATTATAGCCAAGGATATGGGTGGCACAGTTAACTATTACCTCACCAACAAGAACGGTAAGGCTCTGGGTGTGGATGCAGAAGGCAATAAGATCATGATGCAGCCAATCCTCGCTGAGCAGAAGTCAATGACTCCAGACAATGCAGCTAACCTGAAGGAGAAAGCTCGCGAGCATGACAACGACTTGAGATTCAAGTATTACGCCAACGACACTGGTAACGCAAGCAGAGAGAGAATCGCGGCTGGAAACAACAGAGCTTCCTTACTTGCGGCAGGTATGCGGGCTGAGAGCAAGGCGGCTTCATCTGGCTCACCAAAGATGACCGCAGCCCAGAAGCAGAAACACGATGGAGCTATCGCAGAACTTAATCAGGGAATCTCAGCGGCGGTTAACAGCATCAAGTCCGGTAACACCTACCTATCTGATGACGATGAAAATGTGGACACCAGCGTAGGCGACTTCTGTAACCGCGTCAAAGAACTGATTAATAATGGTACACTGACTGGTGATGAAGCTGCATTCTATCAGAACAAGTGCTATGAGGTCCAGTATTATCGCGAGAAGAAAGCTGGTAATGAGGAAATGGCGCAGAAGTATTATAATGCACTGACAGACGACTACAAGAAGGACAACATGAAATAACCTACAGGCTGCTATGTGAGAGCATGGCGGCCCTTTTGTTTGCTTTACTGTAAAAAAACAGTGTGGTATAATATTAAGAAGGAGGAATTATAATGGAGAAGGAAAAATGCTACATTTGTGGAGGAGACTTTGAAGATGCTTTGCTGGATTTCAAGGTTACGATAGGGAACGCTCACATAATCATCACTGGGGTTCCTGGCAAACGCTGCTCTCAGTGTGACGAAGAGTCTTTGAGCCTTGATGTTTACTCCAAGATAGAGAATTTTATAAAGGAATATAAAACTGAAAAAGAGATTGAAACTGTACAATACAGTAAAATTGCAGCTTGAATAACTAAGACCGCTGTGCAGAGATGCATTGGCGGCTAGAATGAGGCAGATTAAGAATTCAGAAGAGGAGATGAGTGATATGTGCAAAGAAGTAGAGAAATATACTATGGAAAGATTTGAGGAAACAGCTTTGAAAATGTTAAAAAACAATGAACCAGTAAGTAAGATTCTCGAATACACTAATTTGGCTATGAGTAGGATCAAGGAACTTGCTAATCAGAACGGGTACACTCTAGTTGATGGCTAATTAGTGAAGTACAATGGCTTCGCAAGCGCTTGAAACATTCAAAGCTGACGCAAGTTCTGGTGGAGGAACCGGATATGGGAAACTATTTTAAGGAATTATTTAAAGACGATTTAGAAAAAAAGTGGAATGATGGAATAAATAAAGGCAGGATAGAAGGACAGGAGAAGGTTAATGCTCTAAACAAATTGCTGATAGAAACCAAAAGATTCGTAGACCTTGAAAAGGCTACGAAGGATTTAGAATATCAGAATAAGCTGATAAAGGATTTACTACCTGTGTGAATAGGTTTACAGGCCGCTGTGCAGAAATGCATGGCGGCTGTTTTATTATAGCCACTACATGGGAAGTTGACACACTAAAAAAGGCTCCCCTACGTGGAGAGCCCAGCAATTTCTAGACTGGGACCACATAGGGGCAGTCTGAATATTATCTAATTGTTGTCACATGACAACAAATTGTTTATTATTATATCTTTTATTGTTATGGCTGTATTTAATATTATTTAATTGTTGTCACATGACAACAAATTGTCAGTTTTCACTTGAAAAAATATCTTCAAGAACAGTTTTGGTCATATCATTAGAGAATTCAAGATCTTTAATTGCCTTTAAAACAGCTTCCTTGAATATGGCTTCATCTTCTTTTGCTAGTGCTACATTGAACTTTTTGAAATTCTTCGGAATAGTATAACTTAGCGGCTTATTATTGATCGCAGATTTTATATTTAACTCTAAAAGCTCATCAATTTCTTCGATTGATTTCGCCGAAAGTAATAGTTGTGTATCAATTCCAGACTTAAAAAGATACTCGTTTTTGAAGATATATTCCTGTAGTTCACTGCTCATGAACGCCAGCCTTAACGCTATGCTCTGAGTGATAGTGCCTTCATCCAGCATGGCAATAAACTCAGGTATAAGATTTCTTAGTTTATAATATCTGTTTACTTTACTTGCGCTTACTCCAAGTGTTTGAGCTACAACTTCACCAGAACGACCAGGTATTTCACCCCAAGTCTCTTTCTTGATCTGCTTCTGCAATTCCATGGCACTCACAATTGACCTTATCTGAAGGCTAGGAGCTTCCGCGGCGCGCTGGGTCATATTATTGGTGATGATAATGAACTTTGCAGCAGCCTCGTCTATCTGTTCCCCCTCATACACATGGCAACGCATAGTGTTAAAACGTGCCTCGTCAGGATAAAGTTCGTGTAGTACACTGATGGCTGTGAAACGCGTATGCCCCCCCAGAATAGAGTACTCTGCGTTGATACCACTGCTTCATACAAGAGCTGGAGCAAGCTGTCCCTGATGATAGATACTCTTTACAATCAGTTTGAAAGTCTCTTCGTCAGGCATTGGGAAGAAGTTCCATTCATCAGGAGCAGGAGCAAGCTCATCAAGTGCAATGTCAATATCATGCTTAGCAGGAAACAGCTTATCAATGCGCTGAATGTTCTGCTGAACAACTTCAGTGTTAGCTCTGTCTTCCTGAACAGAGGCAGTAGGTGCAGCTTCAACAAGCTCCTTAATTTCCTTCTTGAAAATAGGATCATCTACTGACTCATAATTAGCCTTTGACTCCTTTTTTATGAAACTGCTATCAACTGAAAACTTACTCATTTATAAGCACCTCCAATTCATTAAGCATTGCTTCATACTTCTTTGAAGCCTTAGAGACTGGATACATTGCAGTTACCGGCTTGCTGCTCATTCGAGATTTTGGTACATCGGTATTCTGCGGAATAAAGGTGTTGAAACAGTGTATGCCATTCTCAGTAAGATCATTCTTAAACGTAGGAATCGCCTTCGACAAAGCAGTTCTCTCATCAGCTCTTACAAATAAAACTCCAGCTACTTTAGCGGCAGTCATTCCATCTTCTTCTCTCATCGCAATAAAATTGCAAACATTGATAGCACCTTCAATGCCATGCTTATCAGCATCTGTAGGAATAACCACCCAGTCGGCACATTTAAAAGTACTGGTTACGAGCAGCCCCATAGATGGCTGAGTGTCAACAAGAACATAATCGTAAATACCAAGTTTCTTAATATCATTGAAGAGGTGGCCAACCAGATCACCACGCTCAGAACATGTCTGTAGGAATGTTGACTCGAAGCTGTGCTGCATCCCTTGATCAGATACAATGACATCAATATTCTTGTACTCTGTGCCATGAATAAAGTTATGTACAGGCTGTTTTTTACCACTATCAAAGAAGGCGGTTAGATAGTCTTTAACAGTTGCTACCTCGCTGCAACTGTCATATCCCATTAAATCTGAGGCATTGCACTGAATGTCAAGGTCAACAACGAGAACTCTTTTCTGTCTCTTCCCCATTAAAACAGCGAGTGCAGTACAAGTGGTGGTCTTTGCGACACCGCCCTTGTTATTGGAAAAAGCAATGATTTTTGTTTCGTGTTTAATGCCGTCTGGCTCTAACATTCCCGATCTCTCCTTTTTTTCACCTGTATCTTTAATATCTTTTTTGTAATAATCTTTTAAGTAGTCTTCCAAAATTTCATTGATTGTCTGATTGAGGGTACGGTTCGTTTTATCAGCCATATCCTGAAGTAAATCCTTCGTGGATGTGCTGGTCCTCATCGTGACTCTTACAATGTTTTCATAAACAGTCGGCCTCGCCAATAATTTCACCGCCTATGCATCTTAAAACAAAATCAGCCTAATGACTTCACCATATTTATATTATAAGTGACGTCACTAACTATTGTCAAGAAGAATCTATTAAGACAGGGTAATTATTGTAGAAGAGACAAAATGAAAAAGGAGGATACCAAATGAAACCACCAAAGGGCTATGTTGACCCCGGCATCGACTGGGACAGTATTACTGAACAGGAACATGAGCAAACCTTCACTGACAAGCTGTTGGCCGCTGATATCGACGGCATATTCAGAGACAACCTTCAACCAGCATTTGATTCAGCTGTAGAGTTTGGCAAGAACATCAGACATGATGTTGGCAAGTGGGTAGACGACACCATCAATGACGTAGGTGAATTCGTAGATAACCCAGGCACTGATACAGCTTGGAAGGCCTATGAGGACATGGTTGCACCAGCAGGGAAGCTCGCTGTTACGCCATTCATTCCAGGTCATGCACGAGGGGTTGCAGGAGCGCTGTATGCGCCCAAGTTCATCAGCGACACCATTAATTCTGGAAGTAAAAATATTGAGGAAGATGGCGTCGGTCAGGGCATACAGTACTCTGCGTTGATACCACTGCTT